AATCATATTTAACAATAGGTGAATAAATCTTTGTAAAATCAATTCTATATTTTTGTAAACATCTTTTTGCAACCAATCTTGCTTTGAATCAATCAATAGTGCCATTTGACTTTATTTTAAGTGCATAGATTCATTTGCAATTGATGGCTTTCCTTCCAAAAGGAAAATCTATTAATTATTAAGTATCATTATCAATTAATGTTCAATATTCTTCATACATAGCATCCTTTCAGTCTAAAGAGTGTATTAAAAGAAGTGCCTCTTGATATAATTGAGGAACAAAAAGTATAAATTGAGTCATAAATTATGTAGTTTATATCTTTATTAAAATCAAAAATACTTCAACTACATAATTTATGAATTATCTAATTATCATTAGAATTTGATTTTAATAAAGATATAAATATATTCTATGAAGTAGTTGATGATTTCATAGAATCATGAGTTAATTGTAATAAAGTAATAGATGACTTTGATAATTGATGCTACAAAGAAATTGAACTTAAAGTAGTAGTAGGTTCTGAATTTTTGATATTTTCTACAATAAATGTAGAAGATAATATCATCACAGAATTTGTAGATATATGTTGCCACTTATTTATAGAATACTTGTAATAATCAAAAAGACAACAAGGACATTAAGTAAGATGAATTAGAGATGATGAAATTTGTGAATTTAATTCAACAAGAATATCATGAGAATTTTGATCGAAAGGTAAAATAATAAGAACATTATTGAAATTCTACTGAGAAAGATTAATTGTAATCAATAATGCATTGTGTTGAACAAAATTAAGTTATAAATTTCTATTAATATTTAGATTGTTATTACAAATGGAATCATTGCTGCAATACATACTACCATGAAGATCTTGATTATCATTACTTCCACTGATTATATAACCATGATTTTTTTGAACATCAATTTTGTTGCTTTGACTGATAATATGATCTTGAACATCATGAGTAATATTTTTGTTGCTCATATTGATAGCATATCCGTAATTGACATGATGAGTACTTTCATTGTTCACATTTCTTTCATATATTTGAGAATTGTGAGAATCCAAATCTGTAGTTATAAAACATTTGAAGTGTATTTCTAGATAGCATATTTAATTCCAAGAAGAAAGGTCATGAAGATTCTTGAAAAAATTGAGGAAATTCCTGAAAAGAACTTCAAATGAAGTTGTACTTTGAATAACATTTTCTTTAGATAATTATTACATTGAGATTTTCTTTTCATTTCATTGATATTTGAATTTTTGAATTCTAAATTTTGATAAGACTGAGGTTGATAAGAATTTTGATTATTTTGTATTATATATGGTTGCTAACAGTTTTGTGAAAAATAAAGGTCGACAATTGCCCCTTGTTAAATCCAATCAATAATAAGATTGCCTTGATAAAATTTGTGGCCCTCGAGAAGAAGAACCTGAATACTGCAGTATAGATCATGGATATCACAAAGGTCTTGGTCCTGAAATATTTTGAGAATAATTTGACAGACTAGTGAAGATACATACCAATCTTAAATTAATCTGCGAGGATTATAACTCTTATTAGTAGATTGCCATTAATAACTACCGCATTAAAAGATTGCCCACATCTAGCATAAAACGCCCTCGACTCCGGAGTTAAATCATTCTAAGTTCATAATAAAATCTTGTATTCTTTTGTTCTCAGATACAAATTTTTTATGTCTTGTGCCATTAATATGAGTGATATATCCTTTTGCTCAAAGTAGATTCTTCATCTGTCACTTTCATATGTCAAATTTGGAACTATTGAAATGCTAAATTCCAATTAGATCTTTATTAATGGACATTGTGATCAAATTGCGACGTGATCAAATCATAAGAAACAAAAAAAAAAAAAAAAAAAAATGAGTAGGAAGTTGAACAATGTAGTGCATGTAAAATTAAGAAGTTCAAGAAAATCTAGAAAATGTTTGAGAGAAGAAAAATATGCACAACAATTTTTGTAAAAATTGTGATTAAAAAACTTTAAAAATATATTAATCGGAGTTGCAATCATACCTTGTGGGATGTGGCACGGTGGGTGAGACTTTGGCTCTTTTTTGGAAAATTGTGAGAAAATAATTGGTTGGAGGATTTATGTATATTTTATATATATATTTACAAAAATACGAGAAATTTATTTTTTTTTATGAGATTGTAGTTTTGAAAATAATGTTATGGAATCTCACTAGGCATTATTTGTTGACAAGATCTCCGATTTAAAATATTTATGTCTCTATTTTCATCTTGTAAAGAATAGATTGATGGATAGATGGGACTATGAACTAATTAGAAATTCACTTATAAAATAAAAAATACAGAAGATAAAAGTTATATATATATATATATATATATATATATATAATGAAGTCAATAAATTGAATATTTTTAGAAAATTATGTAACATACCTGTATGTATTCTTTATTATGTGAATTATGAATTAATATCAATTTTCATAATATTTTCTAATTATATATACGACCTTTAGAATAATAAAAATTTAATATATATTGGTGATGACATATAAGACAACATTAACCATTTGTGTCAAAAATAGCATAATTAACATTATTTGCTACAAACTTTGATTTTTACCAAGTGTTTCATGACTTTTAAATTTTGTGCACAAGCACAACAAAATTTTCAAATAAAATCAAATTAAAAATATAACTAAATGGCATACTCAAGAGTATATCATTTTGAAATATTTTTTTATTTATAGTTTTTAAAAGTCAACATGTCAAGAAAAAAAATTACTTATTCTATAGTTATACAAAAATTACTATGTGAAGAATAAAATATAAAATTATTAATAGAACAATTTAGAAAACCAGAGCCTTGGATGGATTGAATTGGCAAAGAAAACACAAAATGTTGAATACAATTCAAGGTTTGCAATTATATTATGAGGTTGAAAAGAGGTTTTTTATTTTTATTATTATTTTTTGTACAAAACATAATCAAATAAATGACAACAACAACAAGAAGAAGTAGAAAAGAATGGACAAGGGTTTAAAAGCACAAAGGTTGTTGAATGAGCTATGTTATGAAAAGAAATTTTTACATTTTAATTTGACAAAGAACTTGCTTGAATGAAAGCAAATTCTAAACAAGGTGTTATTGTTGGAGCTTTAGTAAATCACACAAGGTTCTTATAGTTGAGCAAAGTAAAATGAATGTAATGTTGACATTTAAAAAATATTATTAACTAGTATAGAAGAAGAAATACAAAACTTCATTAAATTTGTATGACGTATCAATTTATTATTAAAAAAAAAAAAAAAAAAAAAAAAACTAGAGTAAGTTAATTAATTTTTGTTATTTTTGTTTAACTTTTTTGGAATTCCTAGCATGACATTTTTTTTAAAAAAAAACTCAAGTATTTTTTAATTCCAAAAAGAAAATGTATTTTTCATAATAGTTTAATGTTTTAGCAAATTAGTTATATATGTATATATGAAATTATATAATTAAATAAAACAATAACCATTACAAAAATATGTATAGATATAAATAATTAATAAAATTCAACATTTTGTAGAAATATCATAGATTGCTAAGTTTATAAGCATTTTGAGTTTTCTTTCTCTACAACAAAGAATATGTGAACTGGTGAATTTCGGACATCAAAATTATAATTAATACCTGAAAAAAATTATGTGTTATAATAAAAATAAGCATCTTTGAAAAAATTGTGTAAGTGCAATAAAAAATATATGATAATGAAACAATTTGTTTGGCAATCACAGAATTGGCATTTGAGGTGTCCAATGGAATAAAGTCACTTCAAACTTTGGGGTACAGAGGAAAGGGTATTCTTAACAGTCAAATCATGGAATATAAAAAGGATATATAATAAAATAAGACCACGTATATTTAAAATATATTAGAATAAACTTCACCATATTTATATATAGCAAGTACAATAAAATATCTCTCACAAAAAACAAACAAACAAACAGAAAAAAACAGAAAGAATTCAAAATAGATGGCAAAGCAATATAAAATAAAATAAAATAAAATAATAATAATAACAATGAAAGTATTAATGGCTATGTCAAATTTTTTTAATCAGTGCAGGATGAGTACACATATTGTTAACAACCATTAGCATTATGCTATTGCATTTATCACACACATACATATAGACATGTTGAGATTTGATTCTGTGATGGTACTCACTTTTATATGAAAATTGATAAAGGTAAATTGAAGAAACCAACTATTATGAATAAAATTTTGAGTATAGGACAATTCACACAAGTATTTTTTATAATAAAATTATTTGAAAAAAGGATAATGTCATCATGTGTATTGTGAAATTGTGTGACATGTAAGTCGATACCATTTAGTGCATAGAAGGTATAAATCTGTACTTTTAAGAATAAAGTGTGTTTCAAGTTAAGTGGGACTTGACATTATTTCAGTGCAATTGAATTGTTGTCTGATGTTAGAAGAAGAAAAAAACAGAGAAAAGAGAAGAGAAGAGAAGAAAAGAAAAGTTAATAGAACAATATTATTAAACAGTATTAAATGTGCAATTAATGAAACTTAATAGAACACTAAACTTCAATATAAGAAAAAGTTAGGCTATCAAAACTTAGTTCAAAGTTTGTCACGGATCAAGCATTCCTTTTAAAAAAAGAGAAAAAAGAGAAAAAAAAAAACAAAAAACAAAAAACAAAAAAAACATTCTCTTAATATGCAAATGGAAATTGAATTGATCCCAAGGAGAACTTGATTATCAAACATTTTTGAGATTGATACATTTCCAAACTTAAGAATACAAGTTAAATCCTTCATACAAACTTGTGTTCATGTGTGCATAACAAACTTTACTTCACATCTCATCATCGAAAAATGTAATATTGTAAGGCATGGTTGAACATAAAGTCCCAATGCTCCTAATGAGCATTACAGACAAAATCAACAAAATCAACCACTAATGTTAATTAAAGACCTTGCAGAAGTGGCCCAAGTCCCTGAGAAGGCGACTCTGGATTTTTAGGATTTGTTCAGCAGGCGGCTCCGCAATGCTTCCAGCTGGGCTGTAATTGCGGTGTCGAAGTTACGAGTTTCTCCTTCTCTCGTTGCTCTCATCGGGGCTGTCATTGCTGTCTCGGAGCTTGTTGTTGCCATGGTCAGTCTCTTGCCTCATCTCTCTCACCCACCTCAATGAACTGCAGGAAATTGGGCTATCAAGAAATATACGAATTTTGTGTCTCACTGGTTTTGCGTGTTGATGATCAGGCTTTCATCAAACCCAACAAGACTAAGGCTTACTTCAAGAGGTTTCAAGTCAAGTACAAACGCCGGAGAGGTGAGATTGGAGTTGGGTTTTTGTTGGGCGCAAGAATTTTTGGAATTTGGGGGAGAAGTGTTGGGACCTCTGTATTAGGGTTTAGGGGTTTGCATGCTGTGTTTTTTTGGGGAGCTGAGAGTGAAGTTGTGGTCTCTGCAGCCGGGAAGACTGACTATCGTGCGAGGATTCGCTTGACCACCCAAGATAAGAACAAGTACAACACCCCCAAGTACCGTTTCGTTGTGCGGTTCGTATCCTTTGAGCTTAATTTGTGGGTGTGTGATACACACTCAGCTCGGGTTGTTGTGGACTTCACTTTGGATTTCATTTAGGGTTTGGCTTTTGCAGACAATGACGCTTTCGCTGGATGATTTCGAGGTTTACTACCTTGGGACATTGCAGTTACGCGTATTATGTGTGTAAGATTCTCGTGTATGATCGGTCTAGTTTGTTGTTAGCGAACCTTGACCTACCCTTTCAGACCAACAAGGATATTGTTGCGCAAATCACCTATGCCACTCTTGCTGGAGATATTGTTCTTACCTCTGCCTACGCCCATGAGCTCCCTCGGTATGGTCTGAAGGGCGGTCTGACTAATTATGCTGCTGGTACGTATTCACTTGTCTAGTGATTTTTTACTCCCGACCTTTTGTTTTTGACAACGGTCTTCCTTTCCGTTTGTTTGTTTGATGTCAATGGTTTGTATTGGTGCGCAGCTTACTGCACTGGTCTTCTTTTGGCTCGTCGTCATTTAAAGAATTTCGAGTTGGACCAGGAGTACGTAGGCAATGAGACGGTTTGTTTCTTATCTTTTCCTTTCCATACCTTCATGAAGATTGTAGTGACCCTCTTGGTTTTGTGGGGTTCACACTTGCGTTGGACACAAGGTTGATTGTGCATGACTGGTTTTGATGATCAAACCGAGGTTCTTTGATGTCCTACGCATAGAAGTGAGCGGAAGGTCTAATTTCAGTCCCATCAGTCAGGTACATTTGACTTTCTATCATGATTATTGAATTGCAGTAATAGCTATATGTCTAATTTAATGCAGGCAACTGGAGAGGACTACAATGTCGAGGAAGGTGAAGGAAAGAGACCATTTAGGGCTCTTTTAGATGTCGGTCTAGTGAGGACCACTACCGGGAACAGGGTTTTTGGTGCTCTGAAGGTATCCTTATCTTCCCAACTTTCTCACATGTTATGATGCATTTACAATACAAGAGAAAATGCATTGATGTCGGTACAAGACCTGGCATAATTTCGGTATGTGTTGCTTGCGTAAGAATTCAGCGAATGTTTGCTTTACAGCACATCTTTGTTTGTTTATCTATTATTACAGGGAGCTTTAGATGGAGGATTGGATGTTCCTCACAGTGAGAAGCGGTTCGCCGGTTTCAGCAAGGAGGATAAATCCTTGAATGCTGAGACACATCGCAAGTATATTTTGGGTGGTCACGTTGCCGACTACATGAGGGTACGTCGTTTTATAACGAACTTAAGTTCTCTTTGTAATCACACTTATTTTATCTTATCACCGCGTTATGAATAATACATTCAATGTTATAATCACTGGACTTTCCTTACTATGTATCGTCATTATAGTACAAGCTTTTGACCTGTGTCTATCATGTTTTCATACAGCTTTTGAAGGAAGATGAGCCTGAGAAATACCAATCTCATTTCAATAAATTCATTAAAGAAGGAATTGAGGCCGATGAGCTTGCAGAAATGTACACGAAAGTGCATGCTGCAATCCGTGCAGACCCTGACCAACAGAAGACTGAGAAGAAGGCTCCTGCTGAAAAGAGGAAGTAAGTTACTCTTTTTATGTACTCTATCATTGGACACTTTAGTCGTTGTTCCTTGTAGAAGTCTGTTTTGTGATTCTTTTGTCTCCGTGTTTTGCGTACTCACGTGATCATATTAATTTGTCTTGAACAGATGGAAGATCCAGAAGTTGACATTTGAGGAGCGCCAGGCTGCTTTGGTTCAACGCCTAAATGCCATTAATGCTGAGGGAGATGCGTAAACTAGATAGCATGGGAAGCTTGCTAATGTGCTGCAGGGCTAAGCACGCCCAACCAAGCATGGCTTGTAGAAAGAGACTGGGTGACTCTGATTTATTTTGCCACAGCTTCAGCTGCATGCATTTAGCATGGAGAATTCACATTTGATAGTCTCTCTTGTTCTTGGATGTCTCGTTTGGAGATCACGTGTTTGAAGCTTTGTCAGCAATTGGCCTATTCTGTTTCTTACGTACGCACCGGTAATTCAACTCTCGACACATTTTTTAACTCGATTTCATTCCATGAACAGTACGCAGTAAACTTATGACATACTGTACAAGCCATGGATGACAATGGACTTGCACTTCTAGACTGTTCTTGCTCTTTGACTGGCAATTCTCTTCAGTCCTTTGGATTCCTGTCATGTAAGAATGTTCTAGTTTATCCATGACACGGATTCCATATTCTACCCGATTTGTATGAATTATGTAATCTATCTCAAGCATATTTTGGTGTCATGTATTAGGCCAGTAGCAGGAATTCATGTGATTCAAATCTACCTTGTGAAGTATCGTCAATTACGCAAATGCGCTGGTGAAGTTCGCATCAAACTTGTTTCATCCACTGACGTGATTCAGAATCACCAGGGACGATCTCTCAGGTAAAAGAGTCGCATGAAGGGTGATTCTCGGCGGCCGAACCTCGACGCTGGGGGTGATGAAACTTTGAAATCCGTGCTCATAAGACCGAGCAATTCTACCAGATTCCAAAACCCGGGTAATGATCTAATACATATCTCTACCTAATAATAATCAACTCTAGGGCCCCCTCGAGAGGGTGAACCTCCTATACCATGTTGAGCCTACGCCAATGGTGTTTAAATCATGGAATACATCCCTACTTGTTTATAAATAGGCTGTACCTGTGCTTGAAAGCAGCAAGCAAGTGGCAGAACCATTTGCCCTCAAATCCAATCCTGCTTATGAGATTCCACATGACGGTTTTCATCTTTTTGCCCAACTTGTGGGTCGTTCTGCAAAGCTCCTCCAGATTCCAAGTATGCAATGGTTTCAACATTGCAGCATACTTGATTTTCGACAAATTGTGTGATGCAATGAGTTTCTCTTTTGAGTATTGGTGGTCGTTGAAATGACTGAATTAAGTGTTTAAAGAGTCTTTGTTTTAAGGATGCATAACCCACTGTGATCATTAGTTGATAGAGTATTATGATTTGTAGTTCCTTTGAGCTTCGTTTGTGAAAATGTCAAAGCTTTTTATACAAAAAACTAATTTTATTGGTGGTTTGTTTGCCCTCTAAGATGAATATCATTATCCTTGTCTCTTTGCAAAAACCAAACTAATACACTTTTGGTTGCAATGATTTATTTATGTGACAAGCAAATATCATATGTACATATTTACCTACATAGATTTTTGTATTTTTACATCTTTTGAATAAAACTTGGGATCAATTACTAAACTTATTAAACTTGATTATTTGTTTTAGTGATTTTTTTTTTATTTTATTCTTTTTTTTAATATGTGTTGCAGTGCTTTTTCCATCTAGATTAGTATAAAATGTATACAACTTAAATAATTGTTTGTTATTATTTTTATTTGGTATATTGGTTTATTACTTTTTGAAAGTTTCTATGTATATACATATATACATAAATACATAGAATATTGCTAATATTACTTCAATTTTTGCTATTGCCACTAAAAATCCACTATCCACTTAACATGTTTCTTTACTTTTTTTTAGTCCAATCAATTTTTTTGTTAACATTTTTGATATCTGTGTTTTTAAATTAAATATATATATATTTTTTTTAAAATTTTTTTGAATATTGGAATTTTTAGTAAAAAAAAATACTTATTTTTATTTTATAAAATACTTTAAATATTTTTATCTAATTAAAATAAATATACTTTTTTATTTAACATTAACAAATGGTGTGGATGGCATGTGGTGGATAAAGATGTGGTGGCAATAGCAAAAATTGTGGTAGCATTAATAATTTCTTATATATATATATATATATATATATATATATATAAACTAAAAAATCATTTATGAAATTTATTGTCATTATAGTTGTATAAAGATCATATGTTTTTATAATTAATTTTTAAAATTTTGATTTAATATTCTTATAGTGAGATTTATATTAAAATAAAAAAAATCATTGTTAAGGTCTAATTTATTAAAATATTCTTTTAGAATAACATTTTTACTGATACAATTTCCATCCCATTTATAAATAAGTTATTTTACACAAAAATAGAATAAGAGATGTGAACAAGAGTAGGTCTAGATTTAAAAAACTTTAAAATATGGAGTATCTTTATGAATATTGATAATTCTGAATAATAGGCCATTAGATTAATTTGTTTCAAGGTGAGAAAAAACAGATCATTCAATATAAAATCTATCTTCTATGAGAAATGAGTCTCTATGTTGCAACAAAGAAACTAAATACTATCTTTTACAAAAAGCAATGGTTTTTCCTTCTTCATCACATTAATTGACATCTTATGATACTTTTAGGCTTCTTTAAAATAAATCTTTACTGTTTATAATTTGTAAAATCTTTAGGCGTACAATTGTTAAGGGTAATTAGGGTTATGAAAATAAATAAAATGCACTATTTTAGTGGATTATAATACTACCACAAATATGGCATAAAATAAAATTTAAAACAAAAGATTGGCCACAAAATACATTTAAATAGAAGTATGAATTGTTGTGGAATTTATAATGCTTGTACAAGTATATGACAGAAATGTAAAGGGTTTATTTATTTTTACTTAATACATGTATTGCATATTGAAGTAGATTATTTTCTGTTTTTTAAGAAAATAATTTAAGACTACCAAAAATTCCATATACTCTAATATCTTGTTGTATCCAAATTGTCAAATGGTAACTATATCATCTTTACAACACAATAAATTTTATTGGTTGTCATTTTCCTTATGGTGTTTGTTTTTAAATTGGCAATAAGAAAGTAATGAGTTAAAATAGCATTTATTATAATGTTAAAAATTGTATATATATATATATATATATATATTATTTTTTATCAATATTTGTAAAAAAATTGCACAAATATATGGCAACAAAATTTATAATAATATGCAACCTTATACAAATTCAAATCCTTACATTTTTTTACTAGAAGCTTTGAACAAAATAGATTTCAAAATTATACACATTCCATGATAATTATAAGAATAACAATAACAACAACAATGTAATAGAATATCACAATGTACTTGTGAACAACTAAAACATTACTGAAATTTATGGATGGTTTATATGGTTGCCTTCAAGTCCCCGATGCAAATGAGAATTTATTGTTACAAGTAAAATGGCACGCACAAAGTTCATAAATCAATTTATTTTGTAAAATGTTGGCGTGCAAATTCTACCTTAAACCCACTTTTTCAAAGTGAAATAAGCACTGTACAGATCAATGCAGCGTAAGTGAATAACCTGTAATTACTCAACAAGCTAAGATTCATTTGCAAAGGTTAGAACAACACGTTACAAAACCATGTATCAATTCATCAAACTCTCTGCTATCTTTCAATTCGGTGAACAATATTATCCAATAGACTTATGATTCCAATGACGAAAGATTCATTTTTCCTGAAAGAAGTCAAGCAGACTAAAAAAATATTTGTCTGTATTCACATCAGATCCTGTTCAACAGTAGTCGTAGTAGTAGAGAATCTCCGACCAGCAGTTGCCGTAGCTGATCTGATGGAGAAAATATAGAAAGCCCCACATGACCCATTTGCCGATGCATGGTTCTTACAACATGTGCAGTTTAGTATTATCATCATCAACATCTACTGTGTGGGGTACGGATGCAACTGAAAAGACAATAGTTTCTTGTCGAGAATTCACCGAAGATTACAAGTTGACACCAGTTTCGAACAAACGAACTTGGAGGAGACGATTGGATTTGTAGCCACCGTGCTCAGCACAACGATGCCGAACAGCGACATGTTGGCTGCTTCAGCTCAGTAACTGCGGAATTGCTCCGAGCGCTAGAGTGAACTCAAAGTCACCTAAAGCAGTTCTAGCACTAGAAGATCGGCTTAGCTTTAAGATAATCCTGCAGGTTAGACACTGATGTGGTCTAATCGTGCAGGTTTAGACCACATTTGTGCACCGTCGAAGTGGGTGCAAAGTTCAGGGAGTTTGCAGAACAAGTACCGAGCAGATGTATGTTAGACTAGACTGTCGTGTCATGTTCGCAGCTTCATTTCGTCGTCTTCCTTCTTTGAGCCATGTCGAGCAGCGTTCTGTGAAATCGTTGTGCGCGAGATCGAGATTCGATCGACGCTCCGCGCACTCACCTACTGTAAGCCTTCATCCTCTCAATCATTCAAGAAGCTTCTTTTCTTCGGTTTTCACGATTGTCTTGTAATCACATCGATAGATAATCTGCTAATCCCATCTCCAGGTGACGCGAACCTGATCCCGCGAGGCTGGAGGTTACACGCCATTACTAGGTCGCACTTCACCATCTCGCCCACCAGCCTCGCAACTTGCATGCAGCGGACCCCCTGAAAAAGCCTAAACTGTCGATTCCAACCCTCAGACCTCCGGAATCGTTGAGAGTTTAAAATCTCACAAGTACCTCCGACATGCGAGAGCTGGGGATCCGTCTTCGCCAATGATACGCAGCAACGCAGATAATTGCTTCCCTTGCGCAAACCCTAGCTGAAAAAGGCTAGATCTTTTACGAAGCTTTTAAAATTGCGGACTTCTCTTTTTCTCTTTCGCGATTGGGTCGTTGGATATTGCATCCCCACTACGCGCGAACCGGGGCTTCCGGAGCTTCCAGGGTTCCCTCCTCCGACTTTTTCCAGTTTCTCGGTTTCGTCTTCAATTACATTTTCCTTCGATTTTTTTCGAGGAGCAATCTCCAAACTTCGTTGACGAAAAAACGGGTTCAGTCAGGACGCGTTTCCACCAGGTTGCCAATTTCTTGCTTTCCTCCGCGCAAAACATGGGACCAATTGTGCACAGTAATTTTCGGAAATCGCAAGTTCGCTACGTCCATGCACCACATCTCCTATGCTCTTGCTACTATTTTCACAGCACAATGGTCAAGTTTCGGAGATTAATCTTAGTAAAATAACATTATCGAAGTTTAATTTTCACTCCTACAAATTACGTAGTGAGGAAATCTCTCGTCTATTCCAACAAGAATCCGAGCTTTATCCTGCAAAAAAAAAATTACAACAAAAACTCTATCAAATGAACCTGAAAAAAAAAAAAAAACAAAACAAAAAACAAAACAAGTCTAGGGAGTAAACCAGGAGGGGGACATGGACGTAACACCCGCAGCGAATTGGATTCCGGAAACTCTCCCAGCCAAGTCACAAAGAAGGATCTTAAACAATCTTACCATTGGTGAGATCCAGTGGGGTCAGATCCAAGGAGAGATCTACGAGCTAGGTACCCACTGGCGCAGGCGCGAGTTCCAGGTATGCTAGGCCGGCGGTTGTGGCCAAGCGCGAAAGGTGGGCGGGAACAGGTAGCCACTATTATTGGACCTCCGGATTGCTGGAGATATGGATGGAAAGTGTGCTGGAGAGGGTTACGAGAGCAGCAGAGAAGCCGAGTAAGCTTGGCTTGGGTGGAACCAGGACAGAGCGGCGGATGTGACCGGGGACCAGGGGAGCTGCAGTGATGTTTCTGGCCGCAAGCATTTTCAAGGGCTGGGGACTGCGCAGAGGACGAACGCTTCTGCTGCCTTCTCAGCCCCTTATTACATTCCCCTCATTGTTAGACCCACCTCCGCCGAGTCCACCCTCTTAAGTGCTGCCTTGCAAGAGGGGCGGAGCAATTGAACAGCTAGTATCTCCGATCTCCCATCGATGCGGTACCGGGCTCCACAGTTAGAGACAAGCTGCGCAGCGGCCGAACCAACCCGAGCAATCTGGAGAAACATGATCGCGAGTTGGCTCAAATCGCTTCCCTTCAGCACAACTCCAAACACACTCATCGTTACATGGACCACCGCATTCTCGAGCAAAACTGCTCAAAGTCATGCTGCTCACATTCCCTTCCTACCTTCCATTACTTTTCATCACCTGCGAAGCACCACCTCACGACCCACCTCGACAGAATCGTGGTGGCCCACCGCCGTTTCCCCGACCCCAATCGAACTTCACTCCGCCTCGTTAAGCAAACTCCATTTAGAGTCCACGGCGAGAGAGAGCGAGAGTCACATGGAACTTCGACGTGGCTGTGGATAGAGCATGAACTGACTTCCCTTACAATGAGCGTCCGTCGTAACCAAGGGCTCATTAGTGCTAATCATAGATTGTGATTCATTCGAAAGGATCATTCCTACTACACTAGCAGACTTTTGTTTCTTCCACACTGTAAATATTTACATCATTACTACTGAAAAATATTCCGCTCTCACTATACAATGTGACAAAAACCTCAGATTCTGTGATGAACCACACAATCAAAGCTTTCAGAAACTATCTACTGTGTGAGTTCGTTCCCTGCAAGGCCGCTTCCGTTGCAGAGGGAGACGCGGCGTAATCTTTACAAGGGACCTGATTAGTGGATATCCCAAGTGGGACCCTTCCCTCCAAATGGAGAATTGGGAGTGGACAATGCCTCCGGAAGATGTGCAGTGGCAGAAGACTCGGGGTCCGCTAGCAATTACTCTTCTGCCCCACATTTCCGCTCTTGGTTTCACGCTCGGATTAGTACAATCAGGAGAAGAGTTATTGAGTAGTGAAGGGCCAACTTGCGAGCAGGGCAGCTCCCATTCCTGCCCGGAAAACAAAAGCCTGGCTCGTCTTCGTCTCGTTCCTTCTCTCCCCCATGACTGTCTTCATTCTCTCGCCCCCATTTTCTCTCCATTTGTGCTCTTCTTCCTCCTCTTCTAGCTTCGCGGTGTGGATGAATCTGCCGGAAGCTCAGATTTTGTCCAGCTTGCACCTCTGTTGTTGCGGTTTCACGCTTCAACTCTGTGTAGAATCTCTTGATTTGTCGACACTACCCAGTTCTCAGTAGAGAATTCTAGGAGATTTTAACGTGTTTTTATTTTCTTAGTTCTGTCTTTCATCACCTTTGGTATTCAGAACCAAGGTTTTTATTTTTATTTTTTATTTTTATTTTTTTATTGGGGTTTGTAAGCCTGTTGAAGTGGTTTTGAGGAGGGAGTTGGAATCTAGGAGACGTGCATGTGCTGTGGGAGGAATTCTCTGGGGATTTCGAGGCCTTGTTGTATGTTGTTCAGTAAAGGGAGTAGCTTTTTCCACTTGAAGGGGCTGGTGCTGCTGTTGTTGCAAGTCTTTTGACATTGAAAGAGGCGGGGTTGCACGCCCCGGTGTGAGGAAGAGTCTTGTAGTAGGTGGGTTGTGTTGTGCCGTGGTATAGTATGCCGAAGCCTTGTGATGCATGCCATGTTTCCAGCGCGGCGGTGTTCTGCCGAGCGGACGCTGCCTACCTGTGCGTAGGCTGCGATGGGAAGGTCCACGGGGCCAACAAACTAGCGTCTCGACACGAGCGCGTGTGGATGTGCGAAGTGTGCGAGGTTGCTCCAGCCGTGGTGACCTGCAAGGCGGATGCGGCTTCTCTCTGTGTGGCCTGTGACACAGACATCCACTCCGCCAACCCGCTAGCGCAGCGTCACGAGAGAGTGCCGGTGACACCTCTGTTCGAGAGTGCGAGTCCTTTGCGTGGGCCAGATTTCTGCGTGTTGGTGTCAGAGAATGGGTGCCATGATCTGCTGAAGGGCTGTGAGGACGCCTCGGTTGTGGAAGCTGTCTCGTGGCTTCTTCCGCACCCTAAGATCTCGACCAACTCTATTATCAGAGGCAGCGCTGCAGGTAGGACACGGTTGCTGTTTCAAATCTGCCAGTCGCTTCTGAGGAGAGCAATGGGCTTTACAGTTGCTTCGAAGTCAAGTTCTTGATTATCATTCTTTTGTTTGTGAATAGAGAATGTGTTCTGAGACCTCCTTGTTGTCGTTAGAAATTTCTCTCTTAATGCCCTGGTTAGAGTCGAGGAGGATTGAAACTATTATGCTGAGGTCGGCCGAAACCTCATATTGAGACTCTTTCATGTGACAGCCGACGAGATGGGTTCGTCGCCTTTCCACGACCGGCCCTTTAGTCCCAAGCCCAAGAAACAGAAGGTTGAATTGCCCGCGGACATATTCTCTGATGTGGACCCTTTCCTAGACTTGGACGATGCAACCGTTACCGGAATTCAACCCGACAGCTTGGTACCAGTCCATATGCCAGAATGCTCCGAGGACACGGATTCGCTTGCTCACTCCATGGACCCTTCGTTTACTAAATTTCCTCTCTCGGCGAAGAGCGGTTACAGCTATGGCACATCTACCCTTACTCAGAGCGTAAGCACTAGATCCCAACTTTTTATTTTATGTGTCATTCTGAACGTTCGTTGGCAAGTTGAGAGAGCAGTTTATGTAAAATTTGGAGCCTTGTTGCTGACTGGAATTGCTCTGTCTTTGCACAGATTTCTTGTTCGTCTCTAGATGCCGCCGTTGTTCCAGACTCCAGTCTCAGCGACATTTCCACACCCTACCTAGACTCACAAAGCTCCCAAGATATGTCAGCTCGCCTGCCACACCAGACTGGAGGTCCCATTGACACCGTCGACCGTGAAGCTCGCGTGTTGCGCTACAAGGAGAAGAGGCAGAAGCGCAAGTTTGAGAAAACAATTCGCTATGCATCAAGGAAGGCATATGCTGAGAGCCGGCCGAGGATCAAAGGAAGGTTCGCTAAGAGAACTGATTCCGACATGGAGCAGTTTGGCTCAGTGGACTCAAGTTTCGGAGTGGTTCCAAGTTTTTGAGTTTTCTTGTGTATTGGAGTCTCCATCGAGCAAGGTCATCTGAAATGGAAAGCTGCTGTGTAACATAGAGGAGCTGCTGTAAGAACTGTGTAGAGCCATCCAAGTGGTGAAGCACCTGAAAAAGTGGCAGCAATGTAAATTGTTCAGACTCTCAATGGTCACCAGTACCAAGTCATGCCATTCTATAATCCCTTTCAGAACACGATTAAATGCCTTGTGGACAGTACAGGATGTAGTCAGAGTTCTAGTAGTGGTTTTTTTCTATTTTTCTTTTTGTTGATTGAGAGCTTTCGGAACGGTGAGAACTTCGTGGCGCGAATCCTCTGTCCTGCGATCGTTATGATGCAGCGAATTCTTCCGATCTTGATGTATTTCAACACTTCCATAATGCTCTTGGATTTTTGGGTCATTTCCTCAGAAGGTGTTGAGCTAAATGCGTATGTGCCTGAAGATCTTTTCTGATATTTGGAAGTATATATATATTTTTTTCACTTCTTTTTATTCTTAAAGAATGCTGTGATTTTTAAAATAGTTCGCATAAACGGAATTGGTTTTACACAACTGGGGCAATTGTGACTTGAATGCCTCGTGGTTGACTCTGGGGCATTCAACGTAAGTAATTTATTTGTGGAAACCATCAATAGGCAATCTTGCTTAGTCGAAACAGACCTACCAGTTTGCAATGTGTTGCAAGCGTAAATCCAAATCAATATACTCGCATCATTATGATATAGATTAAGATTATTTAGAACATGCGTTCCTTAAAAGCGTAATTAGTTCGAATGATCAGATTTTATTATTTTAGGTCAAAAAATCGAACTGTCCACTTAGCCAGTTTTCGACACAGTCCAAACAACTCCATTGTGATCGTTGTAGCTATGCGCAATTACATACTCTATACTCAACTTCCCCAGCTTGTACCTGGTATGTGGTGCTTAATCGTCAGTGCAAAGCCTGAAAGAACTAGTATAAGTTTCCATCGAATCACTTCTCTATACTTCTCGACTAAGATTACTTCTCGCATACAAAGGAATACAGGACTCCTTGCTAAGCCCTAAATGTGAACACACGTAAATCTAAATTTACAATACCGCAACACCTGCAGATTCACAAAAATGAATGCTATCACCATAATTTACAATATATGTTCAGTATTGACATGATCTATCTTGACCTAATGCAAGATAGTAGGATGAAAGATGAGGAATCCTATACTCGAAAGAATCGTAAATCTTATATTCCTATAACAGGAAGCCCCGCCGCACTTCCCGCTTGATCTTATCCCTCCTTGCATCGAGGGCACAGACACAGTTAACCGATAGAAGATTCAAGCATCCACTTGTAATTAGCGACTGTTTCTCGGCACATGTGTGAAGGTCTGGATAGGCGTCACACACAGCTTGCACAGCTTGCGCGGACAGAGCTGCACAATGACTGACATTGAGGCACACTAAACCATAGTTTGGATTCTCCTCGAGTAGAGTATCCAATCCCTCTCTCTTGATGGGCAACTTGCTTGCATCGCTGCATGTGCTGCCGCTGCTGCTGCAGCTGCTTGTAGCACAAGTTCTATATTTAGGCACCCGGAAGTCACTCGACATGTCCAGGTTTTTCACACAAAATCTATTGCCTTTGCCCCGGGAGGGTAGTGAGACAGCGGCCGTTTTTCTTTTAACCAGCGCGTACATTGAATCGTCGGTAATTTTAGCGCAGGTTGAGAGCCCCAAAGCGCACAGATGGCGGCACTTGTCGGACAGGAAAATTACGCTTTGGTCTGCAGCGGAAACACAGATCTTTATAAAGCTGAAATTTTGCAAGTCGTATATACCTCATGAAGTCAAGGAATAAGCCGAGTTGTCAATTAATTAAATATCATGTCAATCATTGCTAAGCTTAGTACAATTAGTGAGGAAGATGTGAAAGTACCTGTTATGCGGTTGCAGCGACATAGATCGATTACACGCAAGTCTGAGCACCCACGTGCAAAAGCAATAATTCCTTTGTCCGTGACTTGTTCACAACAACCCAAGTTCAATGATTGGAGCGCTTTGCAATGTTTTGCCAAAGCCTACACAAATCCAGAAAACACAGTGGAATTGTGAGATTGAAAGCATTACGAAACGTCAAAGCCGGTTTTATTCATCTGTTGCATGGGAAAGTTTGAGTACCTGCAATACGGCGTCTGTACCAGCGTCCGTGCACCCCCAGAGATTAAGATGGCGTAGATTGCTGCATCTTTGTACAAGCTCCAGAAGTCCCGCTTCTGTAATGCCCGTACACGCACTTAAATCCAATTTCTCCAACATTGGACATCCATTTGCCAAAGCATGCAGTGAAGCATCAGTCAGTCTTCTGCCTTCACTGAGTTCTAAGATTTTAAGTCCGTGCCAACTGCTTGAGGCAGTCTCAATTGCCGCATCATCCAAGTAAATGCACCGTTTCAGCCTGCAACTCTGAAGGCGTGGAAATTTGGGGGAGACAGATTGGACCAACTTGCTCACACTGTGACCACACCTGAGTTACCCACGAATATCCTCAAATCAAAACATCTCATCGTTGATTCTGCTCGGGAAAACCATCTCACACACGATCAAGCCCATGGGAAACCGCACGCAAATAGATATATACATCTTTAAACTAACCATGAGAATGAAAGGTCATAGATGCCCTGGCCAACGGAGTCTCGCCAACCACGACAAACACCTGTGGCTGTTACCACTGTTCGGTTGTCCACCAATTTAAGGATCCGCACCAACAATTCCATCGGAAGATCATGCCAATTAGTTTTACAGTTGTCGGACTTTTCATCTGTATCAATTCGCGTGCCAGAAGTTGCTACACCTCGCCTTTTGGCATGTCCTCTCCATCTGCGTTTCTTTTCTGGAGGTCTTGATTCCATCTCCTCGTCCTCAAGACCCCAGAAGAATTGTGATAAAAGAGATAAGTCGTGCCTGGGCCTTTTCAACCTTGTACCAAGGTACAAATCTGCTGGATGGCGATCATTGCGTAAATCTGACCCATGGTCGTATAAACTCACACGCCTGTCTTGTAGTTGACCTATCAACCAACAATGCAATGCCTAGCGTGAAAACACCAAAACCTAATGCAGTTCCCAGATTATAAGCATTCTGCAGTTCTACTTAGGGGCCCATATACAAAGTTCTTTTTAGTAAAACAACAGACTTTACTGGCCTCCAGACGTTAGATTAGGAACAGGAGTTGCTGCACTATTTTTTTTTTATTTTTTTTATTTTTTTATACTCTAATTTCGTCTTCATATTAATATTGTTTGTTATCCTCTATTTTAATTTTCTACTACTATTATTATTATTATTATTATTATTAATTTTTGTTCCTAGGTTAGACTGCGTAATTTGCGCAGAACGCTAGCAACGTCGTCTGAAAAAGAACGAAGGAGGACAGCGTCCAAAAGGAACTTATTCCAATGTGTAAGCGTGCAACAGTTAGAACAGCAGATAGGATCAGCAGTAGTCACCTTCTCTAGAATCAACAGAGTCGGAATCAGTCTCCATCCTTTTCTCTATACGATACTCACAATCGCAAGCCAAATTTGCGACGAATCGCCACAAACTTCTTCCTTTTGCAATCCTGTCCGGCGTTTCAATCTTGTTGGCTCTTAGGCGACGACCACTGCGAAAGGAGAAACGTAAGCTGCTATAGAGCCAGTCTCATATTGAAGAGAAACAATAATGGCAACAGGAAGAGTATACCGCAAGACTTGGTTAAGACGGACCAATCATGCATCATCTAATAGATGTCCCAGTACTTCATGTTGAAGCACAGAAATATGAAGCTTGAAGACATCCCGACAAGAGCGTTCATGTGTTATATCGGAGCAGTGTACCTTCTTTTCCGATATCAATCATCCAAATTAGGGAATCAAGGTATCATTGATATGACAAATTCTTCGCTTAGGCGTAAAAGAAGAGCGAACATAGAGTGAAGTGCTTCAAACGACGGAGAATGGCGTCATTCCCACAAAATGGGATGTCGCTTAGAAACCAGAGCCAAAAGCAAACCTTAGGCCTTGAAGTGAATCTGTTGACCAAAAAAATGTAAACCTCGGGTGCAATAATCCCCCAAACCACGGAATCCACTAGATGCGTGACGACAATGCTCCTAACCATCAAGCACAGGAGGTTTCCTAAAACTGGATCTTACATCTGAAGACCTAGATTAGACTACCCAAAATCCTCATGAAGGATGTTGGTTACACGAACAAGGTTTGGGGTGAAATCTTCGAGGACAAAGGCGAGAAAGAGAAGTAACCATTTCTAACGCTAAATACCCCATTGATTGAAACGCCCTGCAATCCAAACCCCACAATTGGCCAGCAGACGTAAATCGCCAATTCTAAGCATAAGGATAAGCCATCACCAGAGACTTGCTATCCCATCCCTGAAAACCCAAGAGCGAAACGGCCCGAGCAATTTCGAGAACTCATATGGCAGGTAGATAAACACAACACCGACAGACAGATCTCGTATGCTCCAACATCTGGCCTAAAGTTTGCCAAGCACAGAAGCCTCCTCAATTCTATCCAAAACCAGATTGTACAAACTACCCAGCAATGGCAGAAAACGCTGCAAACCAACGCACGCTCCAACGCAGCACGCAAAAGACTCCCGCGACAGGACGCAAACCCCGACTTGCTAGCCCAAACAAAGCTTCCTTACCCCAAATGACAGGCACCGACAGATGGCTTAATTGCAAATCGAGCGAGCACGCAACCCTCTCCCCAACCTTCACGAGGAAACCAGCCATAGTTCACAGCCAACTCCACTTGTAGCAAACGGAGTGTACTCACGCGACCGATGTGGCAACGCACAGCAAGTCCAGCTCCTTCCAAATTAAGCCCCTTATACATCCCACATCTGCGCAAGCCCCCACAGCTCGTGGCACTCTGACATGGTCACAGACACCTCATCAGAAAGCCTGGGAAAGCCATGGAAAGGCGCTTTGTGGCATGATTCTATCGTCTCTCCTTTCTAAACTGGGAACTTAGCCACGATACCTCTGCTACCAGCGAAGGAGAAAGCGAGGCACGCAGCGACGCTCTCTTCGTCCTGCAGCGAAGATGCGGAAACCGACCCGGAGTTTCTAAAGTGGGTGAAGAAGTAGGAGGCGGAGGAGGCGGAAGAGTCAAAGCAAGCATCTCCGATCCACCCTCTGCGTCTTTAACACATTAACACAGCGAGTGAGTTCAATCAGCGAGCGAGAGAGCGAGACAATTTGCTTGCTGAGTGCGTCTACCTCCACCTCCACAACCCCTTGCGAGCACGGCTTTCCCGGTCGTCTGCCTCGGTTGCGGCGCCGGAATCCTTCCAGATTGTGGGATTAGGATGTGCTAATTGAGATTACTGGGCTCTGCTTAATATCAACCTCGATTACTGGGTTTTGATTCATGTTGAAAACGACTACTGGGTTTTAATTCATGTAAAAAATGATTAGTGGATTTTGATTTATGTTGAAAACGATTAGTGGGTTTCGATTTCAATGTTAATTTTGTTCCCCAGGTTCTAATTAATTTTAATCACGATTACTGGAAGGCGAATTAAGCTTGAGGAGTCTAGCCAGCAATCTCCGGTTGGAGGTGTTCGTCGAGTTGCGACTCCCTCTCCCCTCTGCATTTTGGACGATGGATGAGTGATGGATGAATTATATTTGGATGAAGTGTGATGGTGGGTTGCTGATGGGGATGGATGAATGATAAGGGCTATCTCTCTCTCTATCTTTGGAGTTTTAGGGTGTGATCTCTTTGGTAATGTGGTGGATGGATGAGATTTTAGCAAGAATGTTTTTCTGGGTTTCATGTGATGGGTTGCAATGTTTGATTAGACTCAACTTCTGGGTTTCATGTTGATGGGTTGCAATTTTGTGGAAATTTGAATTACTTGTTTAAGTCTAATCAATTTTTAAAATAAAAATTTGATTAATATTCTCTGTTAAATTGTTTTAAAATATTGTAGTGATTCATACTTGCAAAAAGAAGAGGTAGATAAGTTTTAAGAAATAATCAACTTTAATTTGGTTGAGACCTGATCCAAAATCTATGATAAAAGTTGCAGTAGTTGTACTATTTAATACATTTTTTGTAAAAACTCATAGTACTATTTTGTAGAACATCCAGTACAACATGCTTTAAAGATATATGATATATTGTTAGCTAAATGTTTTGGAGTTTTTTTAAAGCAGTGCTTTAAAAAATGTGCATGCAGTAATACACATACCCAAGACCGAATGTTGTTATTAGTTGCAATCGTGAAATAATAATGATACAATATAATATTTGGTGGTGGGTTTAAATAAGAGTTAAGAATTGAAATTCAAAGCAATCTTGTGAAAAAAATCTACCAATCTTGTGAAATTTTGTGTGTTTTAAACTTCTAAACAAACAAACAATCAAAGAAAAATTCTATATAATTGCCAATGTTTTTCTTAACTTTCAGCATGTACTCAATTCACAATCAACCTGTTGCTATGAAAATCAATAAACAAATAAATAACTATGTATAAATTTAGAGAAGATTATTTGAAAAATATTTTATGTCTATGTTTTTATGTTTATTTTTTTGGAAAGACTAATCAAATCCAATTTCTAGTAATTTTTTTAATTCAAGTTCGTCTTGTGATTAATTCAGCAAATCGATGTTTATTCGGTAATGCTGTAATTTCAGCGATCTCTGTTGATGATGAACAAAGAATTTAAACACCAAATTCTGAAGTCAAAGACGCTTGTTACTGAAGTTTCAGTAACAACAATATATTTTACACATTCCATATTTAAACTCACTGCAAACACTATAACAATGCTCTTTATTACCTTGTTTCTGGTACATGATAAATGATAAGTTATAGACGGTACATCATAAACGTAATTTCTCATACTTAATTCACAACTCAACGGAGAAACTTTGGAAGTGACCCATATTTCACTACCGATAAAACCAAAAAAGAGGGATAAGTATCAGGCTTAGGAAACCATATATTGTCCATTTAGCACTAGTGATGTCCCTCAGATTTCTCTGATCCCTAGTCCCTAGCTCAGTTTTCATGCACTACATAGCACTTTCAACATTCAATGTCAAATCCTTGAAACTTTTAACAATCTCGGTCTTCCTGCTAATTTGACAGTACATTCACCCATCCCGAAGAAATGCCAAAAATTCGGTCAACACACCTGGCATACTATACAAGAATCAAGAACCGCCTGAACCCCATGTATCAGAACACCTCGTGCAATTTGGGTCCATCTCAAAAAAATAATCACCATAAAGTGAACAACCTGATCGAAGTTGACGAGCAATAAAACTAGACACCAGTTTGCACATAGGGGCTCGTGGAAATTGAAAGCAATCAAACTGGAACTGAGCACACTCTTCCCCCAGAGTAGTTCATATTGCATGGCAACATCAAATACATTATCTTCAATAGTGGTTCTCTGATGGCCAAAAGAATATAACAAGAATCCTGCACAAGATTGGCGTTCAGTCCACCCAACTGGATACATAAAATCCTGTTTAAAAACAGTTCCCTGTCCACCTTCTAAAATCGCTGCTATGACTTGGATCTTAGTGTAAGACTAACTACAGATTTGTTAGTAGATTGTCAAGAAGATTGTTTGGCTAAGCCCTACATACAACCTAGTTCGTTACACGTCCCTGGGTGAAACATCGGAAGCTCTGCCAGTCAACTCCAACAGCAGTAGATGCAGAGAACAAGATTGCCAATTGGTACCCCCATACTAATATGTATTGGTGGACTTGGAGAGGCAGACCGAATGAGGCCATAGGAAGCAAGTTGCATCAGATAAGAGGAACGATTACTATAGCAAGAACATAAGAAGATCTTTGCTTCTTGAGTTATGTATAGCAGCCTTTCACCAAACATCCCAGCATTTGCATGTTTCTAGAACAAGTGTTGAGTAAGATGCAAGAATAAGCGGGTATACAAGTCGTGATTATGGATAGTACCAGGTCTTCGCACTGAGCAATTGTTGATTGCCAGTCTTTTGGGACTTGAGAAAGTCCACACCTCTTCAACCTCGATTCCTGGACGTGTATTGACTTTTAAGATGTCCGCTTCACTATTTCTACAAAGTTTAGTGAAAAAGAGGTAGTATACCCCATTGGTGAAGAACACCTTGCCCAGTGGTGACTTCCAGAACAAGTAGAGTCAAAACTGCCAGCATTGCAGCACGCCCGTTCCAGGTCTCTGCACTCTTTGTCCATCCCCACTCCCACATTGCCACTGGTGGTGGTAGCTCGCGACGCAGCGTGTCGTAAGTTGCTAGCAACTGCTCCACACTCCCTAATGGTACAAGTGACTGCACGAGACAAAACATCTTGCTGCTTAGCGTAACATTGAACACAAAAAGCTGAGGTTATTTTGTAAACCCAGACGCTGTTTGATCTTTTGATGCAATATTAAATCACAATCAAGGCAGAAACAGAACATCTAGAAGATGGTCTCATACCTGACGGGCTTCAAGATTTGAGACAGCCATTGCACCTACGTAAGGCAAGGCTTCAAGAATTGCATCTGCTAAGTCATCAATAAAACCGGGTTCACAACCCAGAGCAGGTACACGACCCCAGTTCCTGATACCAGATTTCAAGGCCAACTCTCTATATTCCATGTCGATCTCCTCCAGTGTCTCAATGTGTTCACTAACAAAACTGCAACCATTACAAGTTCATAAAACAAATCATCACCACCACGGTGAAGTTGTAACCAGTTTGTTTTACTTGTAACTTTAGCAATTCGTGAGCAATCGATCCATCAACTACACCATGCAAAGATCACATTCAACTCAAGTCGCTCACACTTGCTGAAGAAAGCACTTACGTAGATTGCTCACATCCAGAAGGAAGCATCAAAATCTGCAGACTGGAGCACAAACCTGACAGGCACGGCCAAGAGACTCTTCACCCCACTCTTTCCAAGCTGTTTGATTGTGTCATCTGTGTATGGTTTGAGCCATTCAACCGGGCCTACGCGACTCTGGTAAGCAAGGGTGTGGGGGCAGCGGATGCCCCGAGCCTTCACTGCAGCCATAATTAGTTCTACGCATTCCTCCATTTCAGCCTTGTACGGGTCTCCAGCTTCTTCCACGTAGGCTACTGGTACACCATGGGCACTGAAAAAAATGTGGACCTGTCCCATTCCACAACATTATAATTTACAAGCTTCATATCCTGCTGGCATGTGAATAAAACTTGCCAACCATACAGATGTTTACCCACCTTTGTTGTCATTCAAGAAATAAAACTACAATCAAAAAGTAAGAAACAGAATTGAAATCTCACCTCATCGGGATTCGAGAACTTCGTTAATTCCTTCTCTATAAGCGTTGCCATTGACTGCACATATCCATTGCGATTATACCATGATGGAATCACTGTGTGCTGCATGTTAACAAGATATTCATCCTCTCTGCAAGTCGCAATACAAAAAACATATTAAAACCTAATCCAGATTGGTTAACAAATGCGACTGCTATAAACAGGTAACGAGAACAACTCACAAAAATTATAACATGGAATGTTGGGAAATAACTATACCTGAAAAGACTCTCTAGAAGACGAAGGCTAGAGCCACTAGTTGATATTGAAAATTGAGGATATAAGGGTAGGACCACCAGACGAGTAATTCCATCCTCTTTGATCTGCACACGCCATCACAGACTTCATAAGAAATGCAAGGGTAAGTGCCCAAACGGCTGATCACCAGCCACAACTAAGTAGTTATTAAAAGCTTCCTAATTACAGTGAATTCAAGCATAAGAACCTATTTCATACACACAGTATATTGTGAGTATTACCTGAGCGATAGCTTCTTCGGTGAAAGGGTGCCAGTATCTCATTCCTACGTAAACTTTAGCCGGCAGGTTCTTGCTCTCCAATGCTTCCTTAAGAGCTTCAGCCTAGTCAAAATGTATCTCACAATCATGAAATAAATCTTCAAAATACTTATAAAAAATTCTATTGATTTGCAAGGACAATTAAGTTGAAAGAATGGCAAAGCTATATTTCCTTACAGAAAGTCAAAAAGTAAGTAGTGTGCAATTACAAGATTTGCAACAACAGCCCCACCTGCTCGTTAGTAATTTGCCGCAAAGGAGATCCTCCTCCTATGGCGGCATATCCTTCAGCACTTTTTGGAGCTCGTGACGTGGAAATAAACTGAGCAAGTGGTCTTTGCAAGAACTTAAACAAACGGGGCAGCCGGATGATGTCCTGTAAACAGAGACACAGGGTTTAAAACTTGATAGTAACCTAATTTTGAGCTTGTCTCAGTCAAGACAACTGGCAACCCAATAAAATATAATTACTCAATCGAGCCAGTAAATTGCACAAAAGATACTTATGATTTTCCATCATTAGTAGACAGATTCCGCACGCGGCTTGATAGATCATCAGCAAGTTGATAAAAAATGGTTTCCACTCAACTTTCTCAAGGGGTCTAGTGTAGTGTTACCGGGTCAGCAAAAAGGTTGTACAGAAAAGGTTGCACATCCTCAAGGGTGTCTGGTCCACCAAGATTCAGAAGCAGCACCCCCACTCTCTCTTCATCCTCCCCGTGCTCATTGCCTCGGTTCAGATTAGAATCTAACGATGTCACTTGCACATCCTCTTCCACTGGGGCTGCCACAGCCCTTACAACACCAGAATCGCTGGCCCTTACGACGAAGCGATTACGCTGATTGCTGGAACTTGGCTTACACGCTGCCCTCTCAGGATCAGCCAACGCAATGAAGCCTCTTCCAAACCCTTGCAATCGACCAGATACACTCTCGCTCTGACCACTAGTCCCTTGGTTCAGACGTAGGGATTGTGATACATGACTCGAGCTTGCATGAAAAGTTGAGAAGTAAAAGCTAGTGACCGGGATTAGAGATGAGGTGGGAGGACACGCCTGTAAGCCAAAATCCTTGGTTAAACTTTTGGGTGCACAAGGACACCCAAAAAACGTTATATATATATATATATATATATATATATATATAGTTCCGGAAATAAAGCCAAACCCTAAAGGATGTTTATCAATTAACGACATCGTGATTCTTAAAGGTCTCCGCTTAGATTCACATTAGAAAAAAAAATTGGTCAATAACTCATTGGGACCGATGATCCCATCACCAAAACATCTATTCTGTGTTCCATTCTTGAATTAGCCAGTGCAGCACCCGCTCTCAGCTTCAATAAGGTTTATGCTGCTACGCTACTGTCAGGGCAGAATGTCCAATTCCGGACAGCACACTAACCTGTGGACTTGAAAGAGCTTGAGGATGCAGAGGCGTAATTGATGCCATTCTACCAGCTCCAACGCCTTAAACCTGGGGCAAAGGCAGAATTCAAAGCATAAGCTACACCGAATTCGCTCACCGAACCCGTGGGCGAAAAGACCTGGCAATACCCCCCCTCTCTCTCTCTCCTCTCTCTCTCTCCCTCTCTCTCGCTCGCTCGCTCGCTCTCGTTCGCTATTTCCACTTTTCTACTGTTCCCTGCAAGAACCTACGTCTGTAACCAAGGCATTTCACACGATTCCCGCACAGCTTCCGAATTCGCACACAATTGCAATTGGGTAACATGGAAAATCGGCAAGCCAACTCACAGCGTCGCAAACGCAAATCATCCAGAGCACCAGCAGCGATCATCCAGTAGCTAAAAACAAAATTCCGCCACAATCAGTCGCAAATTGCTGTCAGTCCACTCAGTGCTTATGACACAGGGTCGCCGCCGTAACCCAATTCCGAGGACAATCCAATTGTTAGACCCACACAAAGGAACAACACGGAGAACGGGGGAGTAGATGGATGGTGGCATGGAGATCAGCTGATCGACACCTGAGAGGATTACGAGGTCGTGGCCAGGAGCCCTCCTCGCAAGCCTGAAAGGAGGAAAAACAAAGAAATAAATAAAAAGAGCACACTTTGATGCCTGAAACCCTATTGCTTCGCTCCCGACGTGTTCCGACATGGAACTGTCGAGTCGAATTCTGGCCTACTCGCCGAAAAAGGGTAGAATCCTCGAATTACTGTGGTCTTCAAATTGGGGTGGCAGTACTTCGGGCTCCATGCTCTATGTCTAGCATCCTCGGTGTCAGAATTCTTATACGTTTAACATGCTTCTTAAGAAACACGAGCTTTTGTATATAACTATATAACTATGCTGTTTAACTCATCAAATGCTCATATCTGATCACAAATTTCTATATAATTAATAAAATATTACTTTAAAATAAAAAGCTATATTTTTTATATATAAATACTATAAAAAAATCTAAGGTCTAACTTATTTATACTAATATTAATTAAGCATGGATCATCTAATCTTCAACATCTACAAATACAATAAATTACAAAATTTACATTCATATTTAAGATATAAAATTAGGTCTTTAGTTATTAATTTTTTTCTAAAATCACTATATTAAAATTAATTAAATCATTTAGTTTGTCAATATAAAGAAGGCACATAAGAAATGAATATGGAAATATTATATTTTGGAAATTTAATCATAAAATATTTGTAACATATTTTATCTAACGATTTTTATGTTAAATTAAAGTCTTCTTTTATAGTTGCCAATTATTGTTTGAAAGCTTTGTAAATGATTTTAAAAGGGTTAGAGATCTTTCTATTTTCTAAATAATTGACTATGTGTATGTATCGGAGAGTGTTAAATTGACCCAACTTTTACTAAATCAATCCACCTATCAAAACCATCATAATCCCCCCTCCCCCCTCCTCCATCTCTTGTCCCCATCTACAATCCTCATTATCAGCCCATGTCTTTATTATTAGCCCCTATCTCTATTATCAACCCTTGTTCTTTGTCAATGTTCCCAATGCTAGTCTTCTATTCTCCATTGCATATCATTGTGATGGCAACAATAACATTGAATAAAATTCATTTTTATAAAATTATTCTGTCACTTAAACGTTACTAATGTTGCATTGTAATATTCTAATACATCTTGTTTTAATTTATGCACTATTGAATTACTTGATTGTATTTTATACACCATTAGAATCTAAAATTTTCTGACTAAAACTTAAAATGTGCAAATCTTTTAAAATAGACATCTTGTATAAAATCCATGGTTGAAGGCTTTGGTATTCAAGGTTGTAATGACAGTTTAGATTGGTGGATCAATTTTGTGAAATCTGGGATAAATTAAATATTTTCCCTTATATATATATATATATATATATAGCATTTTAGATTGCAATTAAAATAAAAATAAGATTTGGCTTATTGTGTTCAAAGCATCTAAGTAGCCTTAGTGCATTTATTTACAATTTTATATAAAAGCTAGAGATAAACTAAAATAAAATTCCATGTTTTTTAAATTAATTTTTTTTGTTACAAATTAATGCAAATATTTTGTTGGTTAAATTGATATCAACAAAGCTTTAATTCATAAATATATGTATGTTCATTAACAATATTTTGTAGAAAAACCTTTATAGATTTAATTAAAAAAATGTGATACAAATTAAAATCTATTGTACCTACTTTTTATTTATTTTTATTTATAAATTGGCATTTTACATTTTTTTATTTTTTTATTTTTTTATATGTTTATTGATTTTTATTCTCTTCAAATTTAGCTTCCTTCTATTGTGCACATCCACATTTTTATTAAAATTTAATAACATAGAAGCTACAATTTGTATTCTTATATACTACATTATAAAATAATTTGAATAAATTCGAAAAAAATATTATAAAAATATTTTAATTTCTTATAGTCGAGTATTGGTACGACTCCCGAACATTATCTTCCACATTCTTTAATTAGGGTTTTGGTTTTTCGTTGTCATCGCGACTTGTCGCGACGGAAATGAACGGCGACGCGATCGTCGCTGCGGGGCACCACCACTGGATAAACATCTTCATTGCACTTCGTTGCACCAGGATCGCTAAAACCCTGCCAAATTTTTCCTGCTCCCCGCTGCTCGGCGTCTCCGATTCTCGTAGACATACCGCCTCCTCTCGAGATTCAGCAATCGCCATCTCTCTCCACTATGTCGAGATTCAGTTGTTAGTTTTGTGGCGAGGGGAGTTGTTTAGGTTTTTGGGTTTCAGGAATCATGGCTGGCCATTTGCTGCAGCTCAAGCTGCCCGGGGGATTGAGCTCCAGCTTTGAGTCGTTGGGTGCAGCCAGGCTCACGCGTTCAAAGCAATGCGGCAAGCGTGCGAAAACAATGTTGGGTCTGAGTGCGACTGCGAGGCTCGGAGGCGGAGGATTGCGGCCTAGTTTGATGCCAATCGATGGCAATTTGCAGGGAAGAATTAATTTTTGTAATATAGGGTTTTCGGGCAGAATGATTGTTGCTGGTGGTGGTGAAGGAGAGTGTAGAGAGGTGAAGGTTGTAGCTAATGCGGTTGTTAATGAAGATGACCTGCATGATAACCCAGAGGAGAATAGCAGCTTCCCGAGCGAGTTTAGGGAGTTGATAGTGGATCGGGGTGATCCTCCCAACTATTGGCTCTTTGCAGCCGGTAAGAATTTTCCGACTTTATTCTAAATCTCTTGAGAATTTATGCGTAAACTTGCTCTGACCTCACTCTTTCCATTTTCCGACATAGGCGCTGGCATTACCTTTCAGCAAGTTTATGTTGAATTATAATAGTTGAGCGGTGAACAGTTGTCGTATGAAGGGACGCCTGTCTTAGCTCGTCCTTCTCTAAATTGTTCGTGAGAATTCCACCCCTTGCCCTCGGATTAGTTTAGTTCTATGATGAATTCAACTTCCGTCAGCCCCAATGTTGCTGTGAACGTGGGGCTGCAGGGTTCCTTGTGGTCCTCTTGATGCGCGACGTCATGGTGCGGGAGATTGCCCTTTGGGGGATAAACTTTACTCGACTCATTTTGTATATCGCAGAAGGCATAACAGTGAGCACTCCTCATTTTACCTCTTATTTACAGCTTTCCTCTCATAGGTCGTAACAGTTTGCGCCATCTTTTGTGGGGGTTATTGTTCATTTTGTCACAGTGGAGCTTATGGGGCTCTAGTGTGTGTTTTGACACACACTAACGCCTCAGAGTTTGAGGTCAGATTTGAACGAAAAATGAATTGTGTTCTTGTTATCTGTTTCCCTTATCGTTCAGAATCTATGAGATGTGAACATTGAAGATACTCCTGGCGTGAATGCACTTGTGCATTGTGTCTAGAATATTTTGCATGTAGCCCCAAGTACATTCGGACTGAACATTTGCAAATGTAACAAAGGATTTATATCTCAATTGCAGATTGCGTTCAGCAAACTCTCTGAAGTGGCAACGGAACCCGTCGCTCTTGTGATGGCTATAGCTCAGTGGGCAGTAGAAGCAGTCAGCGAAATGTACGCCCTCATCGTTGAAAGCCCTGTTGAATCCCTCGCGAGTTCCTTGTTTGTTACTTTAGCAGTTCTTTGCATTGGAGATGCTTCGGCATCCAGGATAAAGGGATCTCGGTCACGGCTGGTAGGAATTGCAACATCCATCGGTTTGGTCGGGGTTTTGGAATTCATTCCCCCAGAGGCAGTGCTCCTGTCCTTGATTGTCCTCACGGCTTTCGCCAAGTTCGTCCAGAAAGCAGATATTGTCACAGTCTTCATGCCAGCGACAGTTGCTTTTGCTGCAATCTCTTCACCAGTTGTTAAAGTTGCAGCATTAGGATTATTCCTTGCTGTATCGATCTATGCCAATTGGAGAGCTGCACAAGAACCGACGGATGCTGAACCAAGTGGGCAACCGCCATCAGATCTGGGTGAAAGTGAGGCAAGGACAGGGTTGAGGCCATTGTTGCTTTTCAAGGGAATTTCAGCATGTGTTCTGATTAGTTTGTCAGCCAAAGTCTTATATCTTCGCACAATGACATGGCTCGCGCTAAGAACCGTGTAAAATGCAACATTTGAATGAGTGTGGGACTGTGCAACATAGAAAGATAGAACCCTTGAACAAGACTTATCATAAATACATGATTTCCAGAACTAGTTATATTCAACACATTGTGTATCAATACGTGATAAAGGAGTCAGAAAATTTTCTGACATTTCTACTCACGTCACTCTACTTTTTTTTCTTCTCCCCCCCCCCTTTTTTTTTTTTTTTTTTTTTTTTTTTTTGAGGTTACAGTTTCCACGAACTCAGCACTTTGAGAATAGGACAATTTGATACTGTCAAGTCTTGAGTAGATTATATTAATAGTTTGTATTTGTGCTGTATATCATGCTCCATCATTAACCAGCATCTGATTAATCTACTTTTCTTTTTAATGCAATTCCAAGACCAATTTATAGCATATCTGACAATGATTTACACCATTTTCAACTTATGAAGTGAATAACTTTAATTTCAATTTTAGTGCAGAATAATTTGTTAAGGTAATTAAATATACAATAATCGATAAAAAAATGTGGGGAGTACCTAAAAGACAAATTGTTGGGTAATTCACTGGTTAAATATCATCCAACTATTCTGTTGTTTTTTTCTTGAGTTGAGATTGAACCACTAGTGGAATGTAGTTGGAACAAAGTCATGTTATCTTTAAATTCTATCAAAGATTTTGAGATAGGAGACTATATTTATATCTTTAGATAAGATTGCAAATTGGAATAATATCATATTAAAACTAAAAGATGTTAAGAAATTTAAAATTAAATATTTATTAGTATCAATAAATTGATTTTTCAGTTAAATAGATTTAATTTTTTTGTTCATTCTACAATATGTAATTGCAAAAATAAATTTTATTTTACTTGAAACATTACTTTTGAAAAAAAAGAATAATAAACAACTGATAGATTAGCAGCAAAAAAGCGATCTATACAAAAATCTGAAGTTTAAACTTATAAATCAAAGGTGAAAACTGCATACCAAGGATGGGAACCGAAAGAAAAACCATTCCACAAATTTTGTGATTCTATGCTCACACCTGGTGCTCGAGTCAGTGAGGGGATGCATTGGAATACAGACATCAAGTTCTTACAAACTTACATCGACGTTGGAGTGCTGGTCAGTGGCTGCAGCAAGCGATGGTGTGGACAGAAGACGCATCTCGGGGCACTCGACCCCACCAAACCCATCCCACTCCACGTCTCCAGTGATTAACTTCCACTTCGAGCAACCTCAGACCCCACCTCCCACCCCTGCGAGATGAACTTCTACGCAACTTCTAATGTAACGTGAATCTTATTTTCACGCGTTGATTTCTCCTAAGCTGCATCTCAGTCCCTTCCTATCCGCACATGGAACACACGCCTCATCACTATCTGTGTCAACCCTTCCACCATCTCATCCCACACAGACAATTCCACCCCCTTCCATCCTCCCATCCAGTGGTGATTTACTATTCTGCCTAAATCTCGTAATTTGTTTTTGCATTACTAATGAGCCTCCAGCACATTCGGAGGATAAGCGTTAGCAACTGTTATCAGTTGCATGTAGTGTGCCTGGTGGGTATCCTTCCTCCTCCCAACTGTAGAGGGGTCGCCAGACCTGACAAGATTTGTTTTTTCATGAAAAAGTACTGCTTTCATTCAACAAACACGACCATGTTATCAGGACTCCACCCCCTTCCACCCTCCCCTAAGTTTTCTGATACTGCGCTCGCCGTGTCTTCCCACCCTTGAGCTCCACCCCCACTTCCCTCTCCACCTTGCCTCATTTCCTCGCTGCATTCACCCACCTTCGTAACGGCAATCTATATAAATGGCGAATGAACCCTTGCTTGTCAACTCCACACCATTCTCAGCGTAACATTCTCCACGCAGGGTCATCGTTGCCTTCCCACTTTGGCTACTCTCTTCTTTGGTTGCGGGACATCATCTGTTCCCCACAGTCGAGCCGTTTGACACTCCGCACTGGTCGCCGGTTGGAACATGGCGAAGGGAGGAACACCGCGAAGTTGGAGCAAGATCGTGCCACTGTGAGTGATTTGTAGGAGGTCGAGTTTCAGCCATTCCAGTTGCGGCGTGTAAATTGTTGCATGGATGTCATGGATTTTATGAAGAATGAAGAAAGGCAGGTGCCAATTCTGAGTTTGTTGTTTCTTCTTGTTGCAACAGGGGAATCCATCTGCCAAACCGAGGAATGCAAATGGGGCCATCAAGGAGTGCATGATTGCCAAGAACAAGAGTGCAGAATGGAAGCCACTCCAAAAGAGAGGCGATGTGATTGTGATCACCACTTTTCTGAACCCTGATACCTTTCACCAAGTCGAGGAATTTATCTATGTTTCACCTGCATTGCGATGTCTGCAACGTAGTGATGCTGATATGTGTCATTTTTGGACTTGTGCAGGTGACAAAGAGGATCTTCAAGGATATGAAAGATAATGTGAAAAGATGCATTCCAACGTCGAAGAGCTCAAGCATTGTTCCCTATCAGGAGGATGGCTAGACATAATCTTGGTCACTTAGACAGGAATAAGTTCCTAGGATTTAACTTACCCCGAAGCTTTGTACAGTAGTTCAATGGAACAGAATACAATGCTTTTGTGTAATGGCTTCATTTGAACAATTCGATTGGCAAACTTCATAAGAGACACCTGTCACGTTTTTGTGCGTATAATCATTTACCAAAAGTGCTGTTGGATATGTTCCTTGTGGCAAGAGTTTTGGTTTTTCAAGTGGTGTCAACGTAAGTCCACAATAATCCTAGTACAGCCAACCGGATACACTCCATAGTACCTATGCTGCACAGTCTGTGTCTTGATCAATTAAAGATGAGTTAATGCGTGTATGGCCGTATGATCAATTCTTTTGAATTGTACTAATACTTTCCAAGTTAAGTCTTGTGTTGGATTCTGTTGGTGATTTTTGTCATCAATACAGTGCATATTGTGATGCATTGATGATGAGGAGTTATCTTGGAACACTTGGTTAGTACACTGCACACTGCGCGACAAAGTACTACATTAGGTAGCACATATTATACAAAAAACTCATTGTCAAAGCAAATCGGACCCAAGTCAGTAATCTGAGCCGGCTTACTTATGTCTACACTTTAGTTTCTTTATCTCTAGAATGTGTTAATATATCGTTCTACTGAGCTTCCACTCTAAATTGGGGGTGTAAATTTTACTGAGTTGAGTGCGTTTGTGTTTTTGTTTGGCGTGTCTTCTAGAAACGGGTGTTTCTTTTCAAGAAACCGCAATCGGCAGCTCCCCTTGCAAGCATTACTCATAGCCGGTAAAAATATTACGATGCTAAAAGTGCGTGAGCTCTTGCTACGCTTCACTGTGAAAACGTTGCTCATGAGTCAAGCAAGCATCCCGGTAAAGGATTGTTTCGGAAGAGCCGATAGAACAAGTTGGGCAGTTTTGAGCCCCGAATGCAACCACCGAGTTCCAAGAAATACTTCTCTGTTGGCTCCTGTAATAACAAAAAAGATGCGGATATTGGGTTCGAGATATTTGCCTTCTGGTATCGATAGGAGTGTTATCCTAGCAAAATACCTGTGCGAGATACATCCACTTATCGTATTCCAGCCATGACCGAGTAGAGCAGTGCCTCGGTTCGGTGCAAAATATATATCAGGTTAAGTGATGTGTGCGGTATACTCTTTCAAAATACCATGAACAGTTTGAAGCTGCAACAGAGTCCGTGTCTTGGCTATCAGATGGAATATGAGCTGTGTTTTGACTTCTTTTCTGAACGGCGTGTTGTTGATGAAGTAATAATTGTCCCAAATAATAGTATTGGAGATTAACCTGAGAAACCACAACCATTGCAACTTGGGATCCAAAGTGGGGACTTTGAACAAGCGGCAGCTCCAAGAAATACCACAAATGCAGAACCAGGAACAGAACTGATGAAACATCACACAGTCAACGACACATTTAGCGGTGGCATAGGTGGTGATTCCTCCAACATCCCTCAGCTTGAGTCATGCACGAGCTCACAACCTAAGGCTACATTTAACATTGTTGCTTGTGGAACTGGAGAATCTAATGAACATCCCTGGGATCCTATGTAGGCATGACTCTGACAAGAAAATCAGGCTAACGACTCAGCAATTAACAGGGTTTGTGCAGACTTCAGACTTAAAAGATACGTGGAAAAGTTGCAACGACAGAGCATAGAACAGCAACTCAACTCATCAGTTAGAATCTCTAATTTCTCAGTTGACAAGCCAGCAACTTACTCAAATGCAGCAAAGCAGGAATCTATATTACAAAGCAGCAGGAATCTCGATTTTCAACGTTTCAACGCCAACAAGATGAACAGCAAAAACGATCACTGAATCAAATTTGCACTACTTCCTTGTAATATAGTTGCTCCATTTCTAGCTTTTTCTAAAAGTACTGTAAAATATGGTAATAAAAAAGAATCTCCACTATCTACTACTTGTATAATATTTTTATATGCATTTTTTTATTTTCCTTTTGTAAGATTCTTTTTCCAACACTACAATTGATTCATTATGTACATTCATGTCAACTTCATTTTCTACTAACTTTCAACACTATTTTTTTTCTTTATAAGAATTATCTTTGTAATCACTCATACTACTTGAAGCATTATATAGCATTGTAGCTTTATTGTTTGCTACCATAACATATTTCACATAATTCTAATTTAGATGCTAAATGTTTTAGATGTTTGTCATTTGATAATTTAGATGCTAAAATTTTTGCACAAGCATATGCATTATATCAATTACTATCTTAAAGACAATGTACTCAATGCTATTCAAATGCCTTGAAAAAGTATGTTTAACTTGCAAGTCCTTTCTTTGTCCACATGTCTCCTATCTTTTACTTAAATTTTATTTTTTTTACTTTCTTAGTACTTAAGTTTGTGTTACACTAGAGTTCTTGAACATTTAACTCTTTTTTCAACTTGATTAAAGAATATAGGTTTAAGTACCATCTAAGAGACTAACTTTTAATAGAATTATTCTACATCAAACATAGTTCTAAATTAATTTGGCAAAAACAAGGTTCTTAAAAAAATATCAAATACTTTCACTTAATTATCTATCAAATAACACCTTCTTGCATTGACCTTCACACATATATTTATATCAAGCTATTTAAAATAAACTTGTCAATACTAAATGAACATTCATTAAGCAATACAATCACATCCATTACAATTGTAGTGCCTACAAAGATGAGAAATAATTGCAAAAAAATCATTGATCAGGTGTCAATGATGTACATGCATCTCACATAAGAATATCAACTTCTATTTTTCTAATAATGTTTAGATTTAAGATAACAAACACCAATTGATTACAACAACAATAAATTGTGACAACAATTCAAACTTCTATTCAACTATTATTATCTACATTTAAGACAATAGATAGCAAACTATGGCATTGGCAATAGAATTATGAGTACAACACCAACTTCCATTCCACTACTAGTATCTAGGTTCAACACATTAAATATCACCTAACAACAACAACATTAGATCTATGAGCATAAAAGAAGAAAAATTAGAAGACTATTACATATAAAATAGATTAGACTAATACCTTGTCAAATGCATTGGCAATGAGACTCAAATACAAATAAAGGAAGTACAAAAAGCTCATCAATATATTGAATAGTAAAGAGGCTATACCTAGCCCCAAGCCAAAATACAAAACCATCTTCACTAGGCTACCTATAAAGACTATTCTTGGCCTTAGTAACAATACTATTGCTTCTCTAGGCCTCTTTTTTTTTTTTTTTTTTTTTTCCTTGCCTACACCAGTTTTCTTGGTGTTCTATTTTTATATTTTACTTTTTATTCCTTCTTCTTCTTCTCACTTGCTCCACTTTTTTCTTTTTTCTTTTTTCTTTTTTTTTTCTTCTTCTTCTTTTCTACTCCACTTTTCATGACAACCCCACATTTTTCTTGGAGCAACTCAATATTTTGTCATATTGGTCACAAAACAATATGTAGTTTGGAGCTCCATCTCATCTTCTTATAAAGTAAAATCTTTAAGGTGCAAATTGGTATCTTTCTTGTCAAATCAATGAAATAATGACTTGGTAAAATGAGGACATTTCTAAAAAATATGCAATAAATAGAAAGAATTCTGATATTAAACAATTTGTTACCATCAATTGGGCACTCAAAGAATTCAACTTTTGCAAAAATTGACAAAATTTTGAAGACATGATTGCAAAAGACATGAGTACAGTTTGCTCAACAAACTGGCAACAATCATGCCTAACAAATAGGCTTTAGATATGCATGGTTACAGCTCAACAAGACAAAACAACCACAGTTAAGTATATTAGTTCCTAGAAAAAAACACACTTGTAAAACAAAAAGGCACTCCTGATATAATTACTTTAGAGGTAAAATATATAAAACCTTAAATCAATACCCAAAACACTATTCATCTGAATTCAACTTTATATATATATATATATATATATATATTTATGTGTATGTAACTTTTTCCTGTGCATTACACAAAATAGCCAAAGAGTATCAAAACCTGGAACCGCGCGCCTTGAGTTCCAGCATGGTCATCATCACATACAACTAGCTGTGCATGTGCACAAAAAGGACGCAACGAGCATCACACGAATTTCCACAAACTCACGTCCCAATTCCAAATTTCACATACTTTCTACAAACTTTCGCTGCTGTTTGCAGGAGCTGCTCGCCTCAATCTTTCCGCTTCAGCCCGTCCTGCCAAAAATCCTTTACCTACTCCGCTCTGCCGTCCTCGCCAGCTACCCATCTTCTAACCCCATACGCCTCTTCAAAATTCCGCCTCCTCGTCTAACACCGTCCCCTACCTTTCCAAAATTCCTCGAGTCCTCCCAACTCAGGTCCTCCGAACGCCCATCTAACATACCCACTAATACCCACTACCCCCATCCCCCTCCATACCACCTTCTCCTTCGCTTCAAAACCACGTCACCCCACTCCTCCCTCGCAACATCTCCTAAACCTCCTGCACACCGCCACCGCCGCTGCGCCCCTGCTGCAACCTTCCCACTCCCCAACCACCCTGGCCTCGCACCCGTCTCCTACCGCACCTCCCCATCCCCATCATTTCCATAACCTCACCGTCTTGTCGTGGCTCGCCGACGCAACCATCCCAGTAGCCGCTGATGACGCTAGCGCAGCTATCAGACCCTCGTGCGCTGGCACCGTCATGCTTTGCTTCTCCACCATGTTCCAAAGCTCCAGTGACTGCACCTCAATCCACATGCACCATCCATTACCACATCTCATCCACGCACGCCCATTCATACACTACCCAACCAACCACGCCCCCCTCAACTTCCAAACATCACACCTCATGCACGCTCCCACCCTATCCCACTGCACCCCACCTCCTTATCATCAACGCATTCATCTCCCCCGCCCCTTTACCTGATAACATCCGATCACCAGCAACGACGGATAGTTCGGATGGAACACGCATGAATGGAACTTGTTCCCGTTGCAGCTCAACTCGTGCACGCACTCGCCCTCC